AAAATAAAATAATAATAATAATAATAATAGTAATAATAATAATAATAATAATAATAATAATAATAATAATAATAATAATAATAATAATAATAATAATAATAAACATAATAAACATGCGGCGATTTTAGATTTAACGTCCCTAGACGTGGAGGTGACGGCCGTGGAGGAAGCTAAGACAGTGATGATAAATGAGAAAGAGGGTGAGTCGGACTCGCAATGGAAAGGGTTCCTTAAGAAGCTAAAAAAGGGTCCTGGGGCCCACTTTCACCCGACCATACCTCACTTGTTGTCGATAAGAAAATTGTCGAGGAAAAGAACCAGTCGCAATACACAGAGCCTCCCGGCCTTGCCACCTCACATCGAGGCCGATTTATACTATTGCTTCGAGACCTCATGGAAGAACTTCATGCTCTCTGATCTTGAGGAGGCTACACAAAACTTTAGCCATGGTATCATTTTTTTTTGTTTTTTGAATTCGACAAAAATGCATTTTTAGTCCTGTTAGTTTAACACCATAGCAATTTTAGTCCCAATGTTATGACTTTTTGCCTTCTGGTCTTATAATTTAGTATTTTGCTGCAATTTGAGAGTTCTCAAATGACTGAAACTGCAACAAAATTTTAAACAACAAGATTGAAATTGCAACAAAATTTTTAATTATAGGACTTAAATGGCTAATAAAAAAATCTATAAATTTGGAAATTTGTTGCAGCAAAATATTAAATCACAGGACCAAAGGACAAAATGTTAGAATCTCAAGACTAAAAATGTTATCGAGTTAAACTAGTAGGACAAAAAATGCAATGTAGCCTTTGAATTACCTGGGATAACATTATTAAAATGTTGAATTTTTTGATGCTCAGAAAATCTGATAGGCGAGGGGGGCTATTCGGAAGTGTACAAGGGCCATCTGGAAGACGGGCAGCTGATAGCTGTCAAACGACTAATCAGAGGAACTCCTGAGGAGATGACGGCCGATTACCTATCAGAGCTCGGGATTTTGGTGCACGTAAACCATCCTAACATAGCTGGAATTATCGGCTATGGAGTCGAAGGCGGGATGCACTTAGTCCTTCCTCTCTCCCCCAATGGGAGCTTATCGTCATTGCTAAAAGGTTCTACTTATTATTTAAGGAAAATTTCAATTTTGGCCTGTTTATTTATCTAAAGTCTTTTTTGCACACTAACTTTCCCTTAATACGTTATGTTGCAATTTATATCATTTTTGGTACATTACTCATCAAAAACAGTACCTTATTGCAATTTTGTCATTTTTAGGACATTAATCCCAAAAACTAACGAACCATTTTCACGATAATGTCTCAATAGTGATACAAATTGCAACATAACGTACTATTATTACTATTGATGAGGGGAAAATTAGTGTACCAAAAAATGACTTTAGACAAGTAAACGGACCAAAATTGAATTTTTGCCTTTAATACATACATGTATATTTAGAAGACTTGTTCATGTCTTGAATATTCATCTAATTTTCCTATGATGATGCTTAGGCAAGAGGGAGAAACTGATATGGAGGCTAAGGTACAATATTTCTCTGGGCATTGCCTCTGGCCTATCGTACCTTCACGAGGGCTGCCAGCGGAGGATCATTCACCGGGATATTAAGTCTGCTAATATTTTGCTCACAGAAGATTTCGAGCCTCAGGTATTTTATGAATTGAAATTAATTATACTGTTAAAAAGAAAATGACGACCTATTTTTATTTGGGTTTATATACATTTTGAGTTTAGACGGCAACAGTTTATTTTATACATAAGAGAAATATTGGTTAGTGCAGATTTCGGATTTCGGGCTTGCGAAATGGCTTCCTGATCAGTGGACTCACCTTAATGTTTCGCAGTTTGAAGGCACGTTTGGGTGCGTGGCCTCGATTATTTTTAACATTTAACAGAAACATACATACTCTAAAATCTTCATTGTCATCATTCGGATTTCATCCTTAACAAATTTTTTATTACAACCACTTGCAGATATCTTCCCCCCGAGTTTTTCATGAATGGCACGGTGGACGAGAAGACTGATGTCTACGCGTTCGGAGTGCTGTTGTTGGAGCTCATTAGTGGCCGTCCAGCAATAGACGAGTCACATAATAGTGTGGTGATGTGGGTAAGTTAGTGTATTGATGAGGCTAAGTAACTCATATGATGAACTTTTTTGTATGCTGAGTTTTGGTGGGGTGATTTGCAGGCCAAACCTCTGTTAGCCAGCAAGAGTATTACAGATATAATTGATCCATTGCTCGATGGAGTTTACGACTTGGATCAAGTAAATCGTATGGTCACAGTTGCTTCCTCGTGTATTACTCCAAGTTCGACGGATAGGCCTCAAATGAGTCAGGTACATATGACATGATTGATATAATGGAATGAAAATTTAATAGGAATGGAATGAATATGAAAAATGAATGGATTTGTTTTTTCAGTTGATGTTTTTGGTATGCAGAAGGAATAAGACCTGAATGGAATGACAATATCATTCTATGTTATCATATCCATAACTATATGCTCATACTTATGAATCCACTTAAAAATAACCTTGTGGTTCAGTTTCAACCGTGCAATCTTTTGAAGTTACGAAAGTTGGTGCCATATTTGTAATTATTCCCTCAAGAGGTTTAGAATTAGGGGGTCATTCGTAATTTTGAAAAAAATAGGTGGTGCATGCTGTGTTGTAATGTTACAATGATGGTTGGTTGTTGCAGGTTTTGTTGATGTTAAAAGGAGACGATAGCGTGTCTCAGAACAAGAAGAAGTTCCAAAAAAGACCGGGACTCAGAAGGACATACCCTTTGGAGTTGATCGAGGAAGAAGAATGCAACTCGAACAAATCTCCATTACATGATAGAAACCACAAAATCAACAATATCACAATATTCGACCAAGATAGCCGTTGTCAAAACGGTGGGGATGATCCTTTCTTGCAAAACACGGCATGATTTAAGAAATTATAATAAAAAGGGAAAAGAAAGGGGGGCGAGCATTGGAATGTACAGCCATCCTCCAAATTGCTTAGAAATTCTTGCAGATTTTTGAATTTTTATTTTTTTTTGGTTTTTGTTTTTTGTTTTTGTTTTTATGTTCCACTCCTTTATTCAAGTTTTATAAATTCCGATGAATTAGGTGATTCGGTTAGAATTTTCTAACGGTGAGCTCTGGCTACAGTGAAAAAGATTGTTTTGAGTGCTGTACTAATGAGCTATCAAGTCTTGTATATACACAAGAAGTACCAAGGTTGATAAACAAGCAATGTTATACCATTTATTTATTTATTTTGAATCTTTTACCCCCATCACACAAAATTGAGATCAAATGCGAAATAGAGATAGTAAAAGAAATAAGAATAGATTTGTACAATTGATCACAACATATCGACGGTCATAAAAAAAATATGATCAAGTTCATTTTTATTATGTATCAGTCAATGTTTAATGACAATTTCATAAACAATTGTACTTAGCATGGTCAAATTTAAACATTTTACCACCAAGTAGAGATAAATCAGACATTACACGTACGGAGGCCCCACCACTATTTTCACTAACTTACCCTTCTTCCTCACACATAAACACATACAACACACACCTGCACAAACGCTATTTACACAAACATATAACACACACACACACTCACTGCCCGACAATATCAGCCTAGCCGCCTGGCCTTCTAAGCGCCGCCGCGCGGCCACAACAACGCCATCGTCCGGCCATTTAAGCGTCGCTGCCGGTCATCAAGGTGCCACCGACTTGCCTTCAAAGAGACGTCGCCCGACCGTCAAAGCACCGCCGCCAGTCCATCAAAACACTGCCACCTTAATCATCGTCGGTAACATTTCCGACGACATCAGCCATGCATCCGCCACTGCCCGCCACCATCGTCACCTACCAGCCGGCCGCCCATCAACAACCCCGCCACCATCGCTTCCAACAGCTCTGCCATCGCCGTCCCAGCTTGTCGCGGCCACCAGATCCATCATGCAGCTCAGAGAAACACCGCCGCTTCGGGGCCGCAAAATCACCCTCCAACTTTGATCGACAACCCCTTCACCGCGAGAGCCTCCATGTCAGTGAGGGAGACCGGCAGGAGAGACGAAGACGGCGGTGGTCCGGCAGAGACGGCCGGGATGGACGCTGGTGCATGTTTTGTTTTCAGATTTAGAAATTTGATTTGTGGTTATACTTTTAGAAATTAGACAAATATGGGGGATCTATTTGCAATTTGTGAAATTTGATATGTTGTTGCATATGTAATTGGTAAACTTCATCAACATTTGCATAATAACAATACGTAAAATGCACAATATTGCACTATCATATGCATATTAATTTATTTTTATATATTTTTACGTAATTACATAATTGTTATCATTTACACATTTAAAAGTTCACAAATTTACCAAAATTTAGCCGCGCTTAGAGTCGCTCATTGGTCGGATTGGTTGAGCCGTCTGACTGAAATAACAAAAATAAAATAACTGAATTGAACTTTAGAAAATAAACGAACCAAAATAAATTTGACATCCAACTCACATAACTGAAATTTTAAAATTAAAATAAGATAATCAAACGGACATATAAATAGTTGAACCAGAAATCTTAGATTAGTCAGTTTTAGTCATTGCGGTGCAGTTCAGAAGTCACTAATGTGCAACTCGTCTAACACTATTGTGCATTGACTTGATTAGTACTATGCAATCTGAACCGACCAAACATTTGTCCTACGTCGAATTGCATCCATATCGAATTACTTGGTTTATTCTTTAAATCATTGAAAGAAATTATTATTTATGTTTAACATATATCTATTATTTTATTAATTTTACTTAATAGTTTTATATTATTTATTGGTTGCGAATACATAATATATGAAGTACCAAAATTGACAACGTGCATTCCCACAAATATAACTGTGCATTTAGTTTAACGTTATTGTGCATTATATTTAGCGAGCATTGTTTATGTTTAATATTATGCGTTTTAATTAACATTACTGTGCATTTATCAAATTATATAATAAAAATATATTTAGTACTTATAAATTTTTATTTTGTATTTGTATTATTTTTTGTTGAGAAATAAATAATATATATAGATAAAATAAAAAATACTATTTTTTTTAATTAGTTCGGTCGATTTTGATATTTTGTTTTTTTTTTTATTTTAAATAAATATAAAATCAGATTGAAATAATCAAGATTTTTAATATATGTGAAAATGCACACTGGTATGATGATGTGCGTTCTAGAACAAATTAACATGCAATTGGCCCAACAATATTGTGCAGGCTGATAGTTGTGCATATTGTTTAACAATATTGTGCGTACATATGCAAATCAAAACAACAATTGAATCGGGTTAACCGAATTTACGTAAATAATCAGAATAAGTTGTTATTTTTATTATAAGTATTTATTTATTATTTAAATATTTTTATTTATTATTCTATATTATTTTATATTAATTTAATATTTTATATAATTTTTATTTACTATTTTTATTTATTATTTTAGAATATATGTATAAAAGAATGTATAATAATAATATGTTTTTATAAATTATATATTTGACCCAAGGACTTAATTGAGATATAATTTAAATTCATAAAATTACAACTAGGTCCCTCATACATATCTAATTCTCACAAACCACCCATATCTCAGCCCGTCAGTTTAAATCCTTGCTGTAGGCCGCCTCTCGTCGTCTGATCATATGGTGGTCTAGTTCTCGTCTCCTGCGGAAGAGGACGTGCCTCTATTCATGGAGACCTTGGGGGAGTTTGGGTAGTGGAGGATGAAAGTGTAGACTGGCGGCAGACGGCTGGTCGACACCGACTTGGACGACTTTTAGGGCAGAGGAGTTGTGGCGCTGTCGGACCTTGAAGATTGTGCCTCGGCTACCGTGGCAGAGGACATGGAGTTTCTTAAGGTCGGCGACAGAGATCGAGGATGGAGTTAGAACTAGGGCGGCGGCCGGAGGATTTAGGGAGACGAGAGACAGAGCGGTTGCGGGCCTCGGACGTTCGATAAACAAGGTGAAGGCGGAGAGGTTGACAGTGGCGGCCGACGGCAAGCAATGGCTGGAAAGCTACTCTCTGTGTGTGTTGGTGTGTGTACTGTGTGTATGTATCTGTGTGTGTTGGTGTTTGTACAATGTGTGTGTGTTGAGTGTGAAAGTGTGCATTGGGACCCTTATGTGTATGTGTGCTGGGTGTGTGTTGTGTGTGAAAGAGAATGGGTGGGTGGGCGAGTTGGTGGGTTGGGAATTGGTTAGAGCGAGATGGGGCCTACGGGTTGGTTGGTAATAAAATTACCACACAAATCTTAGTGTGTTTAAAATCTAGGGCTTTTTTTTAGTTGCTGGATCATCCGATCCAATGGCTAAGATTTATTCATATTTCTTTCACTAAATACTATTCTCACCGGAGCGTGACCATTAGAAAAGATTCTTTTCCACCCCACTACTCACGAAACTATATGCGATATAAAAGTTACATATCTAAATAAACTGCATAGTTAACAATTATGTGAGATTTTAACCCATATCCAAATCGGACGTATAGTTAATAATTATGTGAAACACATTCCCATATTTGTTAATAATATATCCAAATCCACCGCATAATTCTTGTATGCAGAATTATTTCGCATATATAGTAATCGCATATCCAAATTGATAGCTGTATACTTATCATTATGCGATATTTTTCGCATATTTTTCGACTCGGATATCTAAATACACCACATAGCTAACAAGGATGCAAATCACTTGCGCATATTATTTAATCACATATCCAAATACACCATGCAATTTACCATAGGCGCTAAAGTTTTGCATATGAATTTATCACATATCTAAATCGATCGATGCATATTTTAGAATTATGAAAAATATTTTCGCATAGTTTTCAACCCGCATATCCAAATCTATAATGTCGTATAATTAACGACCATACGTAACATGTTTGTATATTCAAGAATCCTATAATTTAGGATTATCCAAATCAAAATTATGCAAAAAATTATTTTGCATATAAGTTACCGCATATTGAAATTGATCGCCACATATTTTAAGATTATGCGAAATATTATTGCATTGTTTTCAACTTGCATATCCAAATGTATAATGTCGTATACTTAACGATTATGCGTAACCTGTTCACATATTTGCGAATAACATAATTTATTATTATCCCAATCGAAATTATGCAAAAATTATTTCGCATATATAGTTACCGCATATCCAAATTAATCGCCGCATATTTTAGGATTCTGCAAAATATTTTCGCATAGTTTTCAACTCACATCTCTAAATGTATAATTCCGTCTAATTAACGATTATGCGTAACGTGTTCGCATATTCACGAATCGCATAATTTATTATTATTCAAATCAATATCATGCGAAAATTAGTTTGCATATATAACACTTATCCAAATTGATCGCCGCATATTTATTATTATTCGAAATGTGTTCGTATAGTTTACGACTCGCATGTCCAAATCGAATGCCCAGTTAATAAATATGCAATATTTTTGTAGTTCTTGTAATCACATGTCTTAATCCACCGTATAATTTAACATATGCGTGAAAGTATCGAATATTTAGATATCATATATCCAAATCAAACATCGCATATTTTATGATTCTGCGACCTTTTTTTCACATAGTTTACGACTCGTACATGCAAATCTATAACGCCGTATAATTAATGATTGTGCGCAATGTATTCACATATTCACGAATCACATATCCAAATTGAAAGGCGAATAATTCAGGACTATCTGTCATGTTTTTACTGATCCATATCATGAATCGCATATCCGCCGAAAATATTTCGCATATTATTCAAATAGTTACATATTGGTATGCAAACATATTTCACATATGATTCAAATAGTTACGTATTATATTGATCGACTTCTTTTTCCAAGTAAATTAGACACGCAAGATGTGTATTTTTTTGTCAAATAGTTACACGATCTTCTTCTTTTTCGATCCCCTATTGGAAGATATTCGCCCCCTCCCTAAAGCCTAAAGCTTTTTCGTTTGTAGAGTCTCACTTTGCTCTCCTCCCCTAACATTTTATTTCATTCTTCTCCATTCGTACGTAGCAATTGATTCTCAATAAACCATGTAGCCTTGCACGATGTTCTTCTTTTTCATCGATGTACAGCTCCTACCCTTTTTCTATCCGTATTATATACCCCATCTTTTTGGATTTTGTTGCGATAATTTAATCTAACCTGAATCCCATTAGCTTTCCATAATTTTGCCATTAATC